AGGCAGGCAGGCAGGCAGGCAGGCAGGCAGGCAAGAGGGAAGAAGGAAGGAAGGGAGGGAGGAAGGGAGGGAGGAAGGAAGGAAGAAGGAAGGAAGGAAGGGGGGAAAGTCGATGAAAGGGAGGAAAGAACCAGAGTATTAGGGTAGTTAACTTATTCATTTGCATTATTAATTTAACTGCAGGTGGTGTAATTATGTTTTACAATGATCTTATTCAAAACATAAGTCTGGTTACATCATTAAGTTTCTATTATTTACCAATTACATAATGAAAAGTACTGCCCAAGTTCTATATTGTGGGTTTTTATTTTTTTGAGACACTAAAAGATTTGAGAGAGGAAATTTTAAACTTAAAGTCACTTTGGGGGGGGGTTTATAACGTAACTGAAAAAAATAAAGCTTCATCATAACATCTATGCTATGTCTAGAAAGTAGACTGGAGAACCGAAGTAAATTACCAGATAATTCAGGGCAAAAGATATATATATCTATCCCTATGTGTGAATTCAGAAAACTCTGAGAAACTCAATGGTCAAAGCCAATCATCTATATTGATCGAATTTCCCGAAAAATTGTTAATTTATCCGTTGTGCTTAGCTTTGTGACACGGCCAAAAGTTACCTATTTAATCTTTTCAATAAAAATTGTTTTTTGAAATCCAGAAATGATTTAAAAAGAGGTCAGGTTTTTAACTATTTATTGAAGTATGTGGATGTACAGTATTTCAATAGATATGAATATGAATAAATGGTATGCCTTAAGATTCTTCGAATCTGTATTTACTTTAAAGACTGGAAAGAACTCTTCCCGTCTTTTAGTAAAACATCCCTATTTCCTAATCTGATGTAAAGATGCTGTACTGTTTCCAATAGGTGAATATAAACTCCGTTTATCAATTAAAACATGTACTTGACTCATTTTAAAACTCTATTAGCTTAAGAGAAAAAGAAGGAAGCAATAATATTTCAGACATAATTCTGCGACCCCCTCCTGCATGTCCTGCCAAGCCACAGTGTCACACTGGTTTCTCTTTTACTACAAGGCGGTACAGGGTGAAAATCCAAGATGCTAATGCTTCAAAGGACTCCACACCACGTTCTTTCTCTCTGTTGCCGAGTCCCAAAAGTTTTGACAAGATGAACTACATCTAGCCTACAAAGAATTTTTCGGGAGATATTTTATCATCAATTATTTAGGACTTTTTCCTGCTAAAACGCAGCAGAGATAGCCACAGAGACTAATGATAAAAGCCTCGTGGCCTTACAGGCTGAGCAACTGAAAACTCCAACTCCCAGAAAAGCCGCACAGAGCGTAATTTCCTAAGACAGCTGAATACAGAAGAGCGGGTACCTCAAGGCGTTCAGATCCAATTTACTTAAAAAATACCTTGTTTTCCTAACAAAACACGTCATTTAACGGAGAGCAGTAGCTTGGTAGCTTGTGAGTTTTCAAATGGAGCTTGCCCCAAATGAATTATTTAAACCCTCTTTCCCAAATCTTTCCATCTCAGATAGTCAACCAAACAAATGGGAAGAGTGGGGGAGATAAAACAAAGCAACCAGCCGTAACAGAGGTCTCTGCTTGGTTTAATAACCTATTTTGAAATATGACTTTCATTGCTATTCTGAGAAAACTATATACACCCAACCCTTCCCTGCACACACAGAAATGAAAACACACTAATAAACGTCTGACTTCCCCACTGCCTCATCATTTCTTCCCCTTTCCACTTCCGTCCTGGACCCACTCACACTATGGAGATTGAAGCACCAAGTATCAGACCCAGAAATCTACATCCGAAGCAGAGTTAGTTTCTCTCTGAACACTACAGGTTAAAACACAGATGCTTTAAAAACCACATCCAAATACACAGAAAATAATTACTCCTCCTAACTTGTCAGGCAGAAATATCAGTAAGAATTTTTAGATAAAATTTCCAAGAATAATTCATTCAAGGTAGGAGAATGTGATCCACACACCAGAGTCAACGTACTCCCTCGGCACCTTCCGAGAAGCACACGCCTCCACATTTATATGCACTTTTTTCCTAATAATTCCAAATGTACTAAAATATTTAAGAATTGATATCACCAGTGTACGGAGAACAAGTTGGCGAACAAATCAAATAAGTGCTTTCTAGCCTGCCTGGAGAGAAAGAAAAGCCCAGTTACCATTCTTTTCCTTACAAGCTTCACCCCAGGTCATCCCCAGGCTAGACCAAGGTGTCCCAAGGACTCTGGTCCACAGAACATGTGTCTCAGAGACAGACCCCGCAACTAGAGAAACTCCCAAAGAGTCACGACGGCCTCCACCCCGCATTTTAGAACGGAAGAGCACCTGGGAAGAACTTTCTACTTTGACTTTCTCGACTCTTTAAAATACTTACAGCAGAAGATATTATTGTCATGTATGTCTGAAGAAAATGAGAATCAGAAATTTGAGTCACTTGCTGGACGTTATGCTTCAACTGAGTAAAAGGTCCAAGCCAACGGGCAATGCGAAGTACTCCCCATTCATTTCTATTCCTTTTAGCCTACCCAGAAAAGAGAAAAAGATGTGATCACATTGCTTCCCAAACTACAGTCTGTGTGTTTACGTTTATATATTTATATAAAAATATGTTTATACATATAAAATACATGTGTATATACAGAAATATAGATACACACTTATGACTTCTCTTTATTTTCCAAAGACTCCAAAGGATAAGGAGTTGAAAGAGAAATCAAATTGTGCCTCTCATCTAAAACTTTATGAACCATATGATGAAATAGTTTTGGACACATAGCCTTGGGGTTGTATTAGACCCGTCATACCAAATGGAAGATCTTGTCATAATCACTTGTATCTTCTTTTTATATAGCATTTTGCAAAAGACCTGGCAAGTTTGGGATAATCTACTATTTTTCAGACATCTGCAATCAACAGAATTCTTGGGGAAATGGAGATTAGAATATATATACATTTTTTAAAAATGTCACAATAGAATGCTGATTTTAATCTCGAGTGATGTTTGAGCCAATTTACATCAAAATACTAATTATATGCACATCTGTTTATGCTGGGGCAGTAGAACAAGAGGGCGATTTTAATTCTAGAAATTAAATTATATGCAACCTAAGAAATACATTTGTATTTTGTTGTCAAAATATAAATATAATGCAAGTCTTCTTAAGTTTGAAACCCATGAAAGGTATTACTTTCATAAACTTATAAAATGAACATATTAGTTTATTAATGAAGGATCTGGGAAGATGTTACAACCAAATAAAAAAACAATCCAAAGAACACATACATTGATAGGTCAAAATGTTGATATTAACATGCTAATGGAAGCAAAACTGGCTTCATCCAGAGTGCAGAGGATAATTCACTTGAA